TCTGCCTCTGCCGCTCCCGCAGGTGTTCGGATCGGTCCCCGACAGCGACGGATTAGGGTTTTCGAATGCTTTTTTTAGGATTGCCAGCGAATTCGATGAATCACCGGCGTTTAGTCTTCATCCTGTCGACGTGTCCGTCAATGTTAAACCATCGATGCAGATGGTGAAATCGATCGAAGGTTTGTTTTTTTTTCTTAATAATGTTTAGATATGAAGATTTTGTACGAGTTCGGTGTTTGTTTCTTTGTGAGTGGATCTTGCAAAGTTGGGACTTGGTTGTTTAAGTGATGGATTGAACTGAAATTTTCCAACAGATTGTTTAATACGTTTGAAATATGCTGATTCAAGTTGAAATTGGCCTTTTTTTGGAAAATATTGATCTTTTTTGCTAATCAATCATCCTTTTGTTTGGCTAACTAGGGTTGTAATGTGGTTCTTTGTTTCGTGATGTTATGCTTGTAGTTTAGTTATGAATAAAAGTATCAATTACCTAATTTTATTGTTCATTCCTATTCGATATAATGGTGGCTATGAATAAAAGTCTGCAAATTTCTTAATTAATCACAAGCTTATATTAAGAGATGTTATTATGATAAAGGACCAATGTCTCTAGGTCAAAAGTGAAAAGTTTAAGGCATTAAAACACAGACAAGTCCCACAACATGGTCGAGATCCTGAAGAACAAGAGAGAGGAGAGTCTCTTGAAGAAGAGGCGAGAGGGGATGCAATCTCAAGCCTTTCCCTCTTCGATCCCCACTTCTATAGTAGAAAAGAGGGTAATTGCTTTCACCTTAGTTTTAATTATTTTTATTTTTATTTTTATTTATTTTTTGTGAATCTAGGGTTAGGGTTTTGAATCAATTTTTTTGTTTTAGCGGGAGAGTTTGCCGGCGTTGGTGGCCGGCGTGTATTCAGACGATAAGAATTCACAGCTTGAAGCTACAACACAATTCAGGAAATTGCTATCTATAGGTACTGAGATTACTTATTGATTGTGTAATGTTTTTCTTTTACTATTTTACCTTTGTGCTTTTGGTTGAGAAACTGAAGGAAGATCTAATGTTTATTGGGGAGTAGAAAAAAAAGAAAAGGAAAAAGAGAGAACGAATTGTTGGCTTGGTGGGTAACTACTAACTATATAGTGATTGTGGCTTAGTGGGTAGTTAAAAGATCGATAATACTTGAGGAGAAACAATTTTTTTTAGGATTATTTTGTGTAGTGAATTGAATTCTCCCAGACAATTATTAAATTTGAAAGGCAAATAGTGTTTACGGATTAGTGAGTTATTTAACAAGAGCTAACTTACGATATTTGTCAGAGGGATGTCCCTCAATCGAGGAGGTTATCCATTCTGGTGTTGTTCCTCGGTTTGTGGAGTTCCTTGTCAGAGAGGATTTTCCTCAATTACAGGTGAGAGGGGTTTTCACTTTTTTTTATATAGTCTGTCTATTGGTTTTTCACTTTGTGAAATGGTTAAAGGGTATCTGACTTGTGTTTGAGCAGTTCGAAGCGGCTTGGGCTCTTACTAATATTGCTTCGGGGACTTCCGAGAACACTAAGGTTGTGATTGATCATGATGCTGTGCCTATCTTTGTTAGGCTTCTTGCTTCACCGAGTGATGATGTTAGAGAACAGGTATGTGGTTTTCCTGGAGTTATGTGAATTATAATGTTATTTTGATTGTACCATTTGTTTTGAAGAACATGAATATTTGAAAAACTTTAGGAGGAAATTAATGCTCATTAGAATTTCCATTTCCCCCTACTTCTAAAGTGAAACTACGAGTTGGAGATATATCCGAGTGGAAAATTCAATGAGTATACTGTATATTTTGTTTTTGAAATCTTATTATGAGTTTGATTCAAGCAGTTAGGACAACGCAGTGTTATTTTGTATGGCTAATGGACACACATAAGATTTCCGTGCTTCAACCTCACTAGAGGCTACAAGGCGCCAAAAATGATGATTATCCAAAATATAGACATGAAGTCAGATTCCAATTGTATAAATATTTGACTGAATATAAATATGTTGTTTTTTTGCTATTCATTTATGCAAGTACCTTATTTTTATAAATTGATGGACAAAAAAATAAGTTCTCATTAGAAGGAGCTCAACATACTCCCTTTTCTGAGTAATTTTGTGATCAGGGTTGACAAACTCCTAAATGTCAGACAGATGGGTATTAGTGTCTTGTCTAGCTATGTTGGATGGACAATGCCAAAAAATTTCGTGATAAGTGTCCTAAATGTGCATAAAAGCTCTAGACTACAAAGCATCTTACGTTTTACTCCTCTTTAGAAAGGGGAAAACAAAAGAAAAGAAAAGAAAAGGACTTACTCTTCATATAGGGTTTTTCTTTCAAGTTTTGTTTCTTGGAATTTTAGGAAAAACAATATGTGAATATAAAAGGACTCTGTTGGAATATTCTGTTTGCAGAGAAGAGAAGTTTAGGTTACATTGTTTATGTATTATTAAAGTTATTGGCTTTCCATGTAGGTTAAGCTTATCATTGTCTTAAGATATTCTTGAATTAAATATTTTTTACATGAACCAAAATGGGATATCATAGTAATAGTTATTGGTGAGAGAGCAAAGTAAGATTTAATGAGGAAAAAGAGGAAGGACAAAAAGTGAAACTATTATTAAGAAAATTTATCAAAAATTAGAGCTCACATTTATTAAAAAAATTCTATGTTTTTTGAACACTTCTGATAACTTTATTCAATAAAATATTTTGTACATTAACCCTCTCAGGAAGAAATCAGATTCCTCTAAGAGTTAATACATTTTAAACAGCGACCTGATCCATTTTTTTATTATGCAGCTTATGGAATGCCCCTCTTCACATGATAAAAATTGAAGCTGGTGTTTGTCCTCAGCTTGTCGAGCTTCTTCTGTATGTATAATTTGTGTTTATTTGTGTTTGGTTTATGTATATTTTGTTTCACATATGAAACCAGGTTTAACTATATCTCGGCTAGTAGCATGGCCTGCTGACAAGGTTGTATTGAAAAATATCTCAATTAACAATGTGGAATCTCCAAACATATCATCTTCTTCGGTAATCTTTTTTGCTGATACTATCATTATTTTGATATTTGATTGTATTAGTTTCTTTCCTATAATTGATATCACTGTTTTGGTCTTCAAGTGATCTGAACTAGTTTGTTCACTTTGTTCCTTTAGGTCCTAATGCTATGCGTGTTTGGGTTGATATCCCTAGGATCCCTAGTGCTTTAGGTCCTAATGCTATGCGTGTTTGGGTTGATATCCCTAGGATCCCTAGTGCATCTCTTTGGAGGCCAACATCTGAGTTAGAATGCATTGAATTGATATCCCTAGGATCCCTAGTGCATCTCTTTGGAGGCCAACATCTGAGTTAGAATGCATTGAAGATGCCGTTAGTACGACAGTAGCTTGGCCATCAGACAAAGTCAAATAGAATAAAAATCGACATACTTTTCTGACTCCCAACTCATCAAGCACTTCATTTTTGCTTTATTATGCAGGCATGAGATGTTCTTGCATTGACTGGCTTTTGGTAAGATCTTTCTATTTTTCCCTTCCTTTTTTTACAGAATGATAATAAATGGTGATGGCAGCTTGTACATTAAAAGTTAAGCAAGTGAACTATAATTCTTATGACATCATGTTTGAAGATACAAAGAAACAAGTAAATGACGATGCTCGGCCTCATGTTGGACTGAAGATTTTGCATATGAAGTTCTGATCCCACATCATGAACATTAGGCTGATACATACCTTGATGGTCAAAAGTTGTTTTGAAACTGTTTGAAAGCATTCATGTTGATCTAAATGTAGATGCATTTGAAACTCGGTCTCGCTTTTTTTTAACTCACTTGTGGGAGAAAAGAGGCGAAAATTACGCTATTCACAAAAACAAAGAATCTTCAATATAATTGGTCCTAGAGGAAGTTATTTTTTCTTTTCTTTTGAAAAACATGTGCAGAATTTGCATATCACCAATTTTTTCGTAGTCGTGTTCTTCTATCATCTTTTTTTAGATAGCCAAGAGTCCTGTCGTCGCCTTTCTGCACAATTTTATGTGTGAAATTCTCAATTATAGTGATAAAAAATATACAAATATTTCTTTTAAGTAGAAAGCCCAACATGTTTTTGTTTTCTGTTTTGTGTCCATATATTCATGGCTCTAAGAGCTCATTACTGGTGTTGTTAATTTCTGTATTTGCAGCAGTACTAGTACTCAATTGCTGAAGATGATGAGTCTCCCAAATCATATGTAATGCAACAAAGTTAGTTTTTGTTGTTCTGTGTACTATGGTTAATTTTTTGTACTCCATGTTGGATTATCCAAAGACTAGTATTTGTTTTTTGGCACATTTGTGTTGAACTTCTTGTATGCTACAATTTGGTTATGTATTAGTTTGAACCTTTAAATAAAATATTTGTTTTTATGGTTGTCATAATTGGAAGCTATTTCTAGTTCAACCTCAAAGGTTTATAGGCACAACTGAAATGCTATAAGAAGTGGAAACAATTACTGAAATGCTATTAAAAGAAGAAAGTCAGCATTCGCTGAAACGCCATTGTAGTAACTCAAACGCTATCAAATGTAAGAAAATAACAGCGTTGAAATGCTATGAATGAAAACTAACTAATAGCATTTTTCAATCGCTATGAAAGATATTCGTCATAGCAATACAGGAACGCTATTGAATATCCTTTTATAGCTACATAAAAACGCTATGATTGGAACCTTTTTGATAGCGTTTGGGGAAACGCTATATAAAGCCACAGACCTACTATAGCGGGTTCTAACACAGCGCTGATTAAAACGCTATGAAATAATACCATAGCGTTTTTCGGCCGCTATAGATGATTTCAGGTGTTGTAGTGAATGACTTAAACAAAACTTTGAAACACTTTAGAATGGATTTATAGACTTATACAAGATATGAGAATAGTGTAAATAAGTCTTCAATCCATACACATAATATTTTGCAAATTCAATAGAATATGAAGCATATAAATGTGAAAATGAAGATATATGTTTCTTCATATCTATATAGCTAAACCAAAACAACTTATCCACATAGAAAACAAATAAGTATTATATATCTTAAACCAAAACAACTTATCCACATAGAAAACAAATAAGTATTATATATCTATTTGTTTGCAAAAATTTTTGTGGATAAAACACATAGTATTATATATCTATTTGTTTGCAAAAATTTTTGTGGATAAAACACATAAACCATTAAATTGTGTGTGTGTGTGTATAATATCGAGCTTAAGGTATTAACACATAAGGTATAAAACCTAAACTAATTTACCCAAGCTTGATAGATATTCAATATGCTTGACTTGGTTGCGGATAAAGCTTGATCTTGAATATGACTTGATGTGCAAATGGCTTCATTTCACTATTCCACCAACCTTCATTTGATGTGATCGTGTAGGCTCAATCCATCCAACCTCGAACTTATTGTTTGTCTTTAATACCTAATAAGAAAACATAAACACTAGACAAACAATATTAGGAATTGTTTGTAATCATCAAAATAAGATTAGAAGATGTAGGCTCATAACATGAGACCTAACAATCTTCTCATTTTTGATGATGACAAACAATATATACAAAGAGTATATAAGATATACAATAAAACACAATACTCACTCTTAAAATATATTCACAATCTACTTGTTTCTCCTCCTTTGACAACATCAAAATAAGAAAACAAAAGAATAAGAGAGCAAAAGCTTCCCCTATCATAAAGTATAGGTGAGTATAAACAAAAATATGGGGAATGATCCCCCTATCAAAAAGCCATATAGAAAATATGCAATTATGAACATGACAAACAAATGTGAATAAGTATGGATATAGAATATCCTAAACACAACTCACATTAAAGAAGATAAAGTGAACACATATGCATGTATCACGAAGATAAGGTGCCACAAGAGTCTAAAACATAAAACCTAAAAGATTAAAAAAAGATTAAAAGAAAATCAAACATTAAATAATTTAAAAAAATTCAAATTATCCAACATAAAACATGATTGATTGAGAGCACAAATAGACATCTAAAAGGCATCTCAATATCCAATCATAAAACATTATTTGGATATAAATAAAAGTAGATCATGAAATCAAATAAAGTGAAATCATGAACCTCATGACGGTTCAAATAAAAACCTCAAATGATACTAAAAGAAATTCAAAGTGTATATATCGTATCATTTTTGACAAAGGCAAGAGAAGTGAGCATAACAAGCTCTTGAAATAAGTTTCAACCCAAAAAAAGCTTTTAGCATCCGGTAAACCTCCCAAGGGGTTGCTCAAACATATAACCTCTCATATCTAAATACAAAACAAAGTATATATCTAAAAAGTGTTTGATCAATAGAAGAAATTCTTTTTGTAAAACTTGATCAAACCATATACAAAATACATTATAAACCATAAGTAGATGATCTGGAAGCTCAAACACATAAATATCATCATAAGAGTGTTTTATAATGATCCCACAAACATAAACACATTGTTCAAATTTAAAAATTGAAAATAATGTGTACTAACAAAAATGATGTTTTAGCATAGAAAAATCATCTTGATAAAATTTGTATCAATTCATAAATAAAGAAAACATGAAAATCTATGAAACAGAATCATGAAAAAAAAATATGAATGGTAACTTTTCAAATCAAATGGCAAGTATAAAATTGTTTTCAATTTTGTTTATAAAATTTAAATAGAAATCATCTTTAAGAACATGAAAAACTAAAAAGCTAAAGAATTTGTTCTTAAAGATTAAACATGTTTTGGTACCCAATTACTCTTGGTATCAAAGAGACTAGGGACATGACCCCTATCATTAAAGCTCAAGGCCCTTGGGTTATGAACCCATTTGGGCGCATATAGTGCACGGACACGGTCAAAACAATACTCATATAAATGTCCTTTTCGATTGCAATAGGTGCAAGGAAAAGGTTGAAAAGATTTGTGTTGACCAATTGGTTGTGCACGAAAATCATTTGCAAAATAGATTTTTCTTTAAAATTGTTTTGCAAATGGGAAACCTTCTTCAAGTCAAAATAAAACTTGGTCAAATAACCAAAATGTCCAAAAACAACTCATACTTGTACACATGAGCATGTTTATGATGTGCAATATGTGCATGTGCATGTGTATTAGATGAAGTGGCTTGATGGGATGCACAATGATCAATATATTTAGGCATGGTGGGGTTTTGTGCATCATAACAAAACTTAGCAATATGACCTTTTCGACCGCAAATAGAACACTTGTAAGTTTTGTTATACATGTGTGCATAGTGAATAGGTTTCTTAGAAACATTTTTTTGGGACTTTGCACACACGTCCATAAGCTTTTCATTGTTGGCAATGCATGTATTTAATGTTGAATCTAAGGATGATATGCGTTTCTTTATTTGATTCAACTTGTCATTTGAAATATGTGCATTGTCACAAGAAGTAGAGCAAACAAGAGTATCTAATTTATTTTTATTAGCTTCTACTTCTAACATGGTATTATTCTTATCACGAGTTAAACTTGCAATACCCAATCTTAATTTTTTATTACATTCTTTAAGATTAACATTTTTATTTGCAATGAAATCAAACTTAGATACAAGGGACTCATGATTGTATTTTAATTGAACATGCTTGCTTTTTAGATCTTTAAAATTATGTTTTAATTTATTATGGTTATGAAATAATTTTCCATATTCATGTGCGAGTTCATCAAACGTAAAATCATCATTGTTATCAGACTCGCATACCTCACTAGGGCTATCGCCTAGTGGTCGTGTACATGAAGATGATGTTCCTTTTGAAATTGAAGCTGAATCCTCCAAATGTGGTCGGATTGCCTCCAAGTCCCCTTGATGTGCTTCTATTAATTTTCATAACGTATAAGCACTATCAAAAGAATCAAGTTTGTTAGCAAAAGATAAGCCAAAGGTATCAATTAGAAATCTTAACAAGGACTTGTTCATAGCAAACAATCTATTATTATTACTATTCCACTTGGATTTCT